TTAAGTGGGTTGTCGAGAAATTGCAGTCGTAAAAACTTGTAAAAAAAATGATCGATATTGTGTAATTATAAAATTCCAGTGATCACTGGCAGGGGAGTATACTTATTTCTATTAGATATATATCTATTTAATTTAAATAATTGAGTTTTATCCTATTTAATATTAAATGTCAAAAACAGTACGTAAAATAAAAGTTTCACATTAAAATAAGTACATGAAAGTTATGTTGCAGGGGATAAATCAGTTATATCCTGTGTAGTTGGATATAAGCGAAATTTTTAGTAAAGTTTAATCGGTCGCCTATGCAGCCGATTATACTCACTGCAAAATTCTATTTATACTCAACTGCCCAAAATATAACTATTACTTGATATAGTTAACTTCTGATATAATGCAGTATAATAAATAAATTAGGATCAATTTATATAAAATTTTATTGGTGAAAGTTTTTTTAACAAAATTTTTATATAAATTTCTATTTGTATCCGGTAGTATATACCCAATATTATAAATTAATACGCATATTAAAAAACTATAAAGTTTTTAATATTATTTATAAATTCATATCTTACATTAAATTAAAATTTGTATAAGTCAAACAATTAAATACCATTGATATCTAACTTTATCTATATATACCTTTTCATTCTAATACTTACTCTAACATACATATAGGCTAATTTGTAGAATTGGGCCTTTTTTTAGATCACTCAAAATGTAATAAACAAATCAATTTAGGTTACCAAATCATATATATTAAATGTTATACAATTTATATAATTAGATATACTGTAATCAGTATCCTTGATTTATATATAAATTGTTTTATTATAAAAATAATTTGTATATATATATACTATATATATATACTATGTAATACATATACCTTATTATTATAGCACAACATAATTCTAACCCGACACAAGTTTTGTGCTCATTATGTTAATATAAAACTTTTAAAAATGACAAAGGTTTACACTTACATTGACGAAAAGTTCATCAAACTAAAAATCATTCTCAAATATCATTCCCAGTTCATTCTTGTGTTTTTTGTAAACTATGTTCTAAAAAAAGTTACAAAAGCCAAGCAGGCTTAAGTCATCATGAAACAATAGTTTATTCACATTATAATACACCTACCTCAACCACCCAAAGCAATTATTGAATTCAAAAACATATTGGTTCATATGATACAAACTAAATTAAAAACCAGCACACAACAAGTAGGACGACAAGTAATTATGATACCATGTCTTGAAAGTCAATTTGTTAGTGTGTTTAATAAATATATCAATCGATATTCACCAAGTCGTAGCTGGTACCAATGTATCTTTACAGGAATTGGAGCTTATAAATGTTTAGAACAAATTCTTAATGATGAAAAGTGGGGGTTCGAGAATACGAAAACAAACAACAAATATGGGTAATTTTAAATACAGAAAATGAAAAATCAAAATTAGAAATTAGATGGGAACGAAAAGAAATTATAGATACAGCTAATCATATTTCAGGTGCTAGATTTTTTTCTATCTGATTTAATATTGCACAATTCTATTTTAAATAGAATTTTTTTTAAAATAAAATAAGCATAGCATTTTTATTGTTTATTAGTAATAGAGATCTTTAAAAATAAGGATTCGAAATTTAAAGAAAGCGAAAATCTTCATATTATTTTAATAATATACATAGTTTGTTATAACTTGGGCATTAATATTTTTAAAATAATAAGAGAGTACCTAAGTGATATTTAAAACCTGCAAAGGCAAAAATTCTCCAAATTAATTGGTTTATTAATTGGTAAGTATGAAAACTATTTATTAGTTTTCAATTCGCCTTTACTATCAACTTTTTGGAAGAGATTAGAAAACTAGTGGCTAAATAATCTTTAAAGATTCGATTATAGCAAGTCTAT